CTTTATTTGCTATACTATACCTGCTAAAAAAGTTCAATTAAATTAATACGCGGAAACGGCTCAACGGATTTGCATGAAATTTTGCAAGCAGATAGCTTATGACCCACAGTGTAAAATAGGCTAATTTTTAGAAGAGTTGCCACCTGTTAAAAAAGTTTAATTTAATTAATAAGCGGAAAAGACTGAACAGATTTGCATGAAATTTGACACAGAGATAGCTTATGACCTACGTTGGAAAATAGGCTACTATTTTAGGAGTTGCCCCCTGTTAGAAAAGTTAATTTTAATTTTAATTAAAATGACTGAACTAATTTTCATGCAAGTTTGCACACAGATAGCTTATGACCTAGATTAGAAAATAGGCTACATTTTTAAGAATTGCCACCTGTTTGAAAATGAAATTTTTCCCACGGATGGTTTATGACTTGGTTTGAAAAATAGGCTACTTCCTTAACCGGTTTCCCGATCAGAACGAAATTTGGTACACTTACTATGGATTTCGCAAGGATGGTATTAGACTGAAAGTAATTTCGATAACTTAAGGCCCCTCCCATACAAATTGGAATTTTCATATTATATACATATCTCTGGAAATATTTGAGGCAGAAAACTGGAACTTCGTACAGAGATATGTATGCGAAATCAATGTTGGCATTAATCGATTGATTTTTTAATCAATTAGTTAATTCGGCTAAATTCAATCTGATTACAGTTAATCATGATTAATTTTAATTTGATTAAACAGTTAATCGTAACCGTGATTAAAAAAATTAATTTTTAATCATTAGCTCTTAATTTGATCAAGTAGGTTTGGTGATTAATTAATTTATGCTGGAATTTACCTGTGCACACAAAGCAACTTAATCCGGTATGGCTAAGTCGGGTTTCCTCATCAATCTGAGCAATTTGGTGTGCATTTTCACTAAGATCTATACCAACAAACATTTTACAAACTAGGTTTGTAAAATTTCCCAGTTAATGTGTTACTAATAACAATAATTATAATTTTTTTATATTATGTACGTTTTAAAAGCGTAAAACACAAAATAATTACTATAACTGGTGTTTGGTTTCAAATTCGGAGAAACTAGACAGCTTAATCAGATTTTATTTTTAATTGGATTAACGATTAATGATTAAAATTAATTAATCGTAATCGCTGCCAGCTATTAACGATTAAAAAAATTTTATCATTAATCGTACAGTTGATTACGACTAATTAATGCTAATCGTCAAATGCGATTAACATTTTAATAGTTAATTTTTAATCGTTAATTAGATTAAAATTTTGCCAACACTGTGTGAAATCATATTCATACTCACGGAGAAAAATGGACGTTTTTGGAAAAGAGGCGTAGCACCTCCCATACTGACTGAAAGTTTTATATTGCATATCTCTTCAAATGTTTGGGGTAAAGTACTCAAACTTGGTATGGAAATGCATATGTATGTATGTATGTGAAACTAATACCATACTCATGGAGAAAAATGAGAGTTATTGGAAAAGGTGGTGTGGCAACTCCCATGCAAATTGATTTTTCTATGTTGCTTATCTCTGGAGGTATTTATTGCACAGGACTGGAACTTGGCACCGAGATGTGTATACAAAATGAATTCCATACTCATTTAGAAAAATTTGTGTTATTCGAAAAGGGGGCATGGTACCTCCCGTACAAATTTACTGTTTTATACTGCATATCTCTAGAGGTGTTCATGGTAGAGTACTGGGACTTGGTACTGGGGTATGTAAAATCAATTCTAAATTCATGGAAGAAGATTAGGGTTATAAGAAAAAGGGGCGTGACACTTCCTGTACAAATTGACTTTTTCATGCCACATATCCCCGGAAGGGTTTTGTGGAAGAATACTCGAGCTTGGTATGGAGTTGCGTATACAAAATGTATCAATTGGTCATGAAAAAAATGTGTGTGTTAAAAAGGGAGGCATGTCGCCTCCCATACATACTAAAAATTTCTTAATACATATCTCTGGAAGGATAGAAAATTTCTGGAAGTATTTTAAATTTGTTATGGAGATTTATTTTATAAGTGCCGTACTGACTGAAAAAAATTTCATTTAATGGAAAAGGGAGAGCCGGGTTCGGCCTTGTAATGTGAAGCTGTCATGATGCATACATACCTCTTGAGGCATTTGCTACAGTAATGAGGAGTGGTATTTTATCAAGGCCAGGTTACTAAATTTGAGGTGGAAATATTAGAACCCGCAGTGGCACCTCCAAGAAGGTTACACGTTCACGCGTCGTATCCCTGGAACCATTTTAAGGTAAACTTAGAGGGATTGATATCTTTCGTTTGCCCAGCGCGCAGACGAGATTTTATAATTTCATAGTTTTAAACGGCCTAAGTACCTTAACTCGCTTAAAAAATAACGAGCTATATATAACAAAATTGGCACAGAAATAAAATATAACATCATTAAATTATTTTTCATAATTGTATAAAAACGTGGGGTGAAACCCGCGTGTATAAGCTAGTCTAGCACATTAATGCGCACAATAATTTTACCCTTACAGACGACAGTAATGCGGATAAACAAGCCGCAAGGTCGTGGATTCGAGACCCGCGGCCAGTAGAATTTTCATTTATTTCGTTTTTATTAATTTTTTTATAAGTTCTATATTTTTTAACGTTGCTTTCAGTTAGTTGTTGTTGACTTTTTAATAAAATTCAACTCTAAAAATTTTAATTAACTATTAGTATATTAACAATGTGATATAAATAAAGCAAATGAAAATAAAATAAAATTAAATTAAATATATAGATCAAATAAAATATAAAAAAATAAAATAAATAATAAAAACAAAAATTTTTTTCGCAATCGCTCCAACCGAGGATCGAACCTGGCAGCTACAGGCTTTTAGCACGCAATTCTCACCACTTGGCTACCGCGGACGCCAAACTCGCCTACTTTGTTTGTTTACTTGCACAAAAGACAACAGCTGGCCGTTTTTACCAGTATTGTCATCGAAAATTCGACGGATCCAAGTTTATTCCCAAAAAGTTCGTCCATTTGTTCGGAAAATGCATGAGTTAAAGCAAATAAAGGCTGCCTATGCAAATAAGCGAGCCCGTTTGTCAACCGTATAAGGCCGAGGCCACGCAAAGAGTGGCTGAGCGGTGGGCGGTGGGCGGTGAGCAGCTGAGTGGCGCCATATAGAAATGCACATGGACCATGGATTTAAAATCAATTTTGAGTTTGCTAAATTGCCAAAAAAAAGATTTCTTAGCACTTTGCTATACTGTTGTAAAGATGTGCTTAAATTTTGCATAAAATTGTGCTATATCATTTTCTTAAAACTTCCAGAAGAGGGCGCAACAGTGAAAATTTTAACATTTTCTTCGAAACCTATCTCCGAAATTTAGCAAACTCCAAATTGATTTTAGACCCATGGTTTCTTCGAAAATTTAGCTTAGGATGGGGCACCGAATTTGCGAATATGGAGACTGTGCATTTACACATTATTTCGGTTTTCAACCGATTTCGATTTCTGTTATATGCATTATTTCGGTTTTCAAACGAAAAGTTCTGCCCTCCTTTTCCGGCAACACAGAAAGGAGAATTCTACTATGCAAGCGCGGACGAAGGCCGCCTACGCAGAAAGAAGTTTGTTTTCATGTCAGTGTTGCCACAAAAAAATTACCAACTTCCTCAAAAACTAACGAAAAATCCTCAAAATCCGAACAAATTACTCAAAATTTTCTTATTACAGATATGAGTATTGTGACCTGTATACTACTTGTATTTACAGGTACTTAGTATAAAAATTAATTACATTCTCCAATTCAATTGGTTATTTGTTCTTGCGGTGCAAAAATGAATCACCGTTATTTTTTATGCCTTGGTTTGTATATAATATTGCTGCAACTATATCAGTGCTCAATCTGGTCCTCAAGTCAGTCCTACACATTTTTAAACTACTAAATATACGTTCTACTGAAGTATTAGAAAAGAGCAATATTAGTAATTTAGATATATTTTTCTTTAATTGGGAAACTTATATGAACCTGAAGAATCTTTTCATTTAAAAACTTTTCCTATAATTTTCTGGATGTAATGAGAAATCAATATGAATATCCTTATGATCGAACAATGCGTGTTCTCTCCATTCGTTACCGACATTTTGCAAGTTTAAAATAAGTTGAAAATATAACGATGGAATGAAAAAAAATATCGATAACATTTTGAATATTTAGCAGCAAATGCAGATGTGCTTAAGAGCGAAAAGCACCACACAAGCGGCTTGACAAACCAAGCGAAATATCCCTTTCCTTAAAGCCATTTATGTTGTGTACAGGGGTGTTTGAAGGTTTGACAAGCCGCCATGTTGACGTTTGATCAAACCGCTTACGTTGTGTATGATAAAATCGCCTCATTCGCAACGTAATGAGGACGCGAGAGAGAAAGATTGAAGAAACCAAAACCCTTTTACATTGTGAACCGGAAGAAAACTAAAATTGTTCGCTTGAACAAGTCATGTTTGCATGGTGTATGACGAAATGGGAAAAGTAGGTTTGAAGAATGTTTGACAAGCCACTTGGGAGGTGTATTTCGCTCTTTATAAAACTTCGGAAAGCTTTTTGTTCAAAAATTTGCAGAGCGATTTAACATTTCTCTTGTGTAAAACATGGCCGCATTTGTTATCAGCGAATACTTATATGTGACCTGGTCTACGAAAAGGGAGCTTACGTGCGAAAACTAGTTTTCTGTGAAAAAGCTGTTAAAAGTAAGCAACTCGTTTCGTCAGTTTCTCATTATCTCGTTAATTGTTCTCCGCGCCGGACGTCCAGTAAGTGTTGTTGTTGGTCCAGTAAGTGTTGTTGTTGGTCGGAATATTATTATAGTTCATCGTGTAAGTTGCTAGTGTGGAACATTTAAAAAAGTAACACTGAAGAAGTGACGTTTACTGTTTCTGTTGATTATCGTCTTCGCATTTCGCATGAAATGAAACATGAGTGTTGATGAGGAGTTCAGTGCCGTATACGGACAATATTTCCATGAAAAGGATGATGAAAACGATGATGAAAACTATGAAGAGAGCGATGATGATGAAGACGAAGTATGTGTATCTCAGGCAGAAGATGATACCGAACAAACTTTTGTTAAGATGGACCTGTATGTTGTTGATGTAAAGGAGGAGGAGCTGGTAACAAAATTTCTGTCAAAAGATTGTTGTAATAATGAATGCCATACACTGATACCACGGGAAATGATCGAGAGCACGCGGAACAATTGTTTAGAGATGTCGAAAAATGAACTTGATTTAGTGATACTAAGTCACATCGAAGCTGGAATTATGAGTAACGAAAAGCTAGAAAGTGTATACGCAAAGCTTGCTGGGCGGAAGAAATATGGACAGAGACAGGATACAGAAGTTATGAGGCATAGAATTCAATTTACCTTCTACAGAGTACCTGTTTGTCGTTCGTTTTTCCTTTTTGTACATGCCTGTACGACGAAGCGTTACGAAAATTTAGTACGTCATTTTCACGCACAGGGTGTAACAGTGCGCCAACACGGACTGGCAAATAAACCGAGTACACATCCAAAGTCATTTAAACCGGCTGACATCGAAAAAGCTGTTAAATTCATCGAGTCTATAGCCGATTTAATGGCTCTTCCACTGCCCGGACGACTCCCAAAATTTAAGGATTTTCGGATAATGAAACTGCCATCCAGCGAGACGAAGTCCTCAATTTATCGAAAATACATTTCTTCACTCAGTGATGACGAATTGAAGATGAGTAATTGCAGTTTTCGACGGATATGGTCCAAATACATACCCCATGTTACAGTTATGAAACCAGCGGATGATCTCTGCGATGTCTGCCGTGGTAAGTATCTCATTATTTTCTCATTTTACAGTTGTATCAAACGTTGAGATTAAATTCAGTATTTTTCTTTTAATAGGAAACACAATATCGATTGCGCAAGCCAAAGGTGTTACTGACATTGAACGCGCACAGAAGCTTAATCAATTTCTTGATCATCTCCACCGAGCCCGAAATCAACGAGAATATTATCAAAGTTNAACACGTGAAAAAGCATCTTATCTTCCATCCGAATCAACCAAAAAGTGAAAATTGATTTTTTGACACCTAAGCCCCCTTTCCGTAGACCAGGTCACATATCGAGAGAAAATTCCTCAAAAATTCCTCAAAATAAAAATCCTCAAAAAATACTCAAGCACACCCGAAATTCCTCACGTTTTGAATAATTACTCACAAAGAGGCAACACTGTTTCATGTATGCACTATTTCGGTGTTTGTCATATACATTATTTCGGGTTTGAGTCGAAACTGTGCATGTATGCATTACTTCGATTTTGTCATATGCATTATTTCGGTTTTGACGCGAAACTGTGCATGTATGCTTTACTTGGTTTTTCGTATATGCATTACTTCGGTTTTGAGTCGAAACTGTGCATGTGTGCATTACTTCGCTTTTCTCATATGAATTATTTCGGGTTTCAAACGAAAATGTGCATATGCATAATTTCGGTTTTTCTAATATGCACTGTTGCGGATTTCAGCCGATGCTGTTCATATATGCATTATTTCGGCTTTTTTCATATGCGTTATTTCGGGTTTTTTCATATGCATTATTTCGGTTTTCAACCGAAACTGTGCATACATATATGCATTGTTTCGGTTTTTTTTCGTATGCATTATTTCGGTTTTTTTCATATTCATTATTTCGTATGCACAGTTTCCATATGCACACTTTCAGGATGCCCTTTGGATTACACGTAGATTCCTCCTTGCATAGTAAAAAAAATGGCCCGCCCTAATACGTATCCATTGATTTTGTTTATTTCAATCCAAATCTCAAAAGTATGGTGCTAAAACGAAATAAAAAGGGTGAGAAATTACCTTTCCAATGATTTCTCATAAGTCTAAATTTGTAAAGTTTTGGCAGAGTTATTCAATTTTTTCTTAAACCAATCTTTGAAAAAAGTTCAAAACAGCATCAAAACTCTCATTATCTATTATGATTCCATTAAACATTTCTTTTTAGTGTTATCATGCAAACTTTCTAAGCTTAAACTGTTTTGTCATCTGAGGCGATTTTGTAAAAAAACCACTTAAAAAAAACTATTTTTATTCATAAAAAACTCAATAGGTTTCCCTTAATCCAAGGTAGGTTGGTATTGGAAATGGGCGAAATCGGACTGTAACCACGCCCACTTCCCATATAACGGTAATTTCCAGAAATACGAAAACTGCGATATTTTAGTAACTATTGAAGATAATTCACTCAAAATTGATATTTACCATAATTTTTAGACGAAAAATATGAATATTATACATTTTTGGAAAATGGGCGAAGCCACGCCAACTTATGGTTACATGTGTATATCTAAGGAACCGCTGCACCAATTTCTTCCAAACTTTGCACAGTTTTTGGCCTTCGCACAGCATACCAAACGGCCGAAAATTTTTAAAATCGGACAATAACCACGCCNTACGCTTAAGACAAAATTTTGAAAAATGGGCGTGGCACTGCCCACTTATGATCACATATATGTATCTCGGTAACCGTTCTACCAATTTGTACCAAGCTCGGTGTGGTTATTGTGCTTGGCAAATAAAAGCAAAACCTTGAAAATTATTGAAATCGGAATAAAATAACGGCCGCTTCTCATATAACGGTAAATTTCAGAAATGCTTGAAACTTCATTATTTCGAAATTGAAGGACGCTAATTTACTCAAAATTGATACACCCCGGCTTATCGTGTAGCGGTAGCTTTCGGAAAGGTGGAAAACATATATTTAATAATTGCGCCGGGTATTTAATGTTCGGCTCCGCCCGAACTTAGACTTTCTTACTTGTTTAAGATAATTTCCTTTTTTGCCTTTTTTAAGGTATTTTCCTTTTTTTGCCTTTTCTACATTTAAAAAAGTGATTATATTTAGCATTTACAATTTTTTTTAAGATAAAACACATGCCCATGCGGCTTATAGAAGCGCAGGGACGGAAAAATTCAAAGCCGGTTTCTCAACTAACGTAGGCTTGAAGACAATAAGGGGTGTGGATAAAATTGTAAAGGGCGAGGAAAACGCCCTTATTCCTGATAATATGAACATTTCAAACGNCCTTTTTTATAGGTTTTTAGGTCCTAAAAATCCGTTCCCTGCTGATTACGAATATGATGCCAGATTTTTAAAATTTAAAATGGCAGATTCAATATGGCTATCAACTTAAGAAAATTGTTGGATTAGTTTGAAACTCGGATTCGCCATTTTAGATTTTTAAAATATGACATCAGATTCGTAATTAGCAACCCCAGATACCCACTGGTAACGAGTTTCAACCCATGATAATGCTTGAAACGTTCGGTATCAACGTTTTAATTTATTTAAAAAAAATTATAGCCATATTGGATCCGCTATTTTGGATTAAAAAAAATTTACTTCAGATTCATAAAAACCGACCCCAAAAACTCCCGAGTGCTGAGTTTCGAACGAAACCTATCATTTTTTAAAAAATCAATCGCGATTTTGGATCCGCCATGTTGAACTTTGAAAAACTGACATCAGATTCCTAATTAGCAACCCCAGAAACCCCTTGGTAACAAGTTCCTACCGATGACAATGCGTAAATCGTTCAGTATCAACTTTTTAATTTTAGTAGTCTATTTTCGAAAGAACATTTTCGGGCACTAGGCCCATTCTAACTGTCCAAAACAGGTATGTAATTAAGGGAATGTTCCCAAATAATACCAGAGTAATTACATGTCAAAACCACATTGCTAGCTGTATTTTAACCTCACACAAAAATAAAAACATTTAGAACATCAGTGTTTTTATAAAAAAAACGACCAGCGCGATCTCTAAAAAAACTTTTTTTTTCAAAATAAAAATATACATTTCTATTTTTTATCACAAATAACAGTAATTTGAGGTAGCGTTTGTGAATTTCCAAAAAAAAAAAACAATTTTTTTAACCACTCCAATATATGTATATACATTAGGGTGGGTAAAAAAATCAAGTATTTTTTTTTGATCCGACACACGAAAACTAGTTCCTAGGTACCTCTAGAAAGTACTTACCAAATCTGAGCTCTTAATATTAACGGGAAGATTATGCTCATCATAGTTTTCCTTTTTCAATTTATTTTCATATAAAAATGATCATATCTTATCACCAATAGATCTTTAAACCAATTGCATCGTCAATATTTATAGGAAATTGAACGCTCTACAAAAATTGTCTCTTATACTATTTTCATTAATTTAATAGTTCGGTCAAATTAGACCAAAAATAGGAGTGAAGTTACAAAAATTCTCACCCATGAATGAAATCTAGAAAGTCCTAATCGATCCTATACCTGGAGAAAAGTTATTCGGGGTTAAAGGCCACAAAAACGGGTTTTTCGCGATTTTCAGCAAAACGGTAAGTATATCATAAAATTAGTTTAGACAAAAATTTTATATCGAATAATTATCTATAAAAAATGTCCATGTTTCTTTCCTAAGAGCCACCGTTTCCAAGATAGCTGGGTGTAAATTTTTGTAACTTCGAATGCCTAAATTGACCGGACTATAATCATTTAAAAGATATTCAAGGTGAAAGATTGAAGTATTTTAAGGAAAATAACTTTTTGTTTTGAAATAAGGGCCTGTTCGAGGCACGTAATAAAAGCGGCATTACAGCCGTACTGATGAAAAATAGCAACATTGTTGCAACTGCCCAACTGATAATACATTGCTAGAAATTCACACAGAACGTGATACTTTAATAATTCGCGCAACACTGCGGTTGTGATTACAACTCGAACAAGCCCTAATTGTTGTCAAATGAGTTTCAATTATTTCTATAGGGAATTACAGGCTCTACAAAAAAGGTCTCATGTAGATAAACGATTACTCTAACCATTTAGAATACATTCGTAGTAGAACTCCAATGCCTACTGATTTTAATAGTGCTTTAATAAATATTTCCAATTTATCCATTTCATTTATGAATTTTGATATAATTTATGATCTATTTCTGAAAAAGGTTTTTATTTAAGAAATTTCATCAAATATATCAGCAGAAAAAAAATTATATTTCGCCATAAATACATTTTTTCTTTTAGTTTAAGCTATAAAAATTGACTTAATTGAAAATCGAATTGAAAAAAATTTGATAAACTCAAATTCTCATGAATATTGTCAAAATTCATAAATTAAATAGATAAATTGAAAATATTTACTGAAAAACTATTAAAATCAGGCATTGGGATTCTACTGCGAATAACTTCTAAATGGTTAGAGTAATCGATTAACTCCGTTAGGCCTTTTTTGTAGAGCGTTTAATTTCCTATAGAAATAATTGAAACTCATTTGACAATAATTATTGTTTAGTAAGTTACAAAATTCAAAACAAAAAGTTATTTTCCTTAAAATACTTCAATCTTTGACCTTGAATATCTTTTAAATGGTTAGATTAATGAAAAGAGTAAATGAGACCATTTTTATAGACCGTTCAATTTCCTATAAATATTGATGAACTTGATTTTTTTAGGACCCACCCTAATATACATACTAGCAGACCCGGCGAACTTCGTCCCGCCCAAAATTTATTTCTTTATTCAAACATATGGTACAACGTTTTCACCACAATTTACGTTCACGTTTGGTTTTTTGGTCGTCAGAAAAGATATCCTCCATTGACGTCTGAAATAAACTAACGTAAGCGTTATGTCCGTGAAAAAGTTCTTGCGGCCGCAATGATCCGGCTCGATGGTGAATCGTCCTTGAATCTGTATAGAAAATGTGGTGGCAATTTCAAAATGGGAGAACATCATTGGTCCACAGAAAACCAATATACATAGACTTATTTCAGACGAAATACCATAAATGTCTTACAATTGAATTTGCAGGCATTCATCAAGAATTGTCTTTATTTTTTTAGACGCCGTAAAGCAAGGACCGCAATGGTTACGGTGGTCGATTTAACGGTGGTAATTTGATTTTGATCACTGGTGTCTCCGAATGACTTCACTTGACGATTTTTAGCAATAACTGGACTCCAGCGCCAGCTTGCGGCTCTTTTTTTCAATAGTATTGCCCCTACCGTTACCAATATACCTTTCGATTATGAGGCAAATCGGGCCATAAATACGATTTTTAATAATAACTCGACTCCAGAGCCACCTGACGAGCATTTTTTTCGTAGAAATATTTCCCTTCACGATACCAATACATATTTTGAATATTAGCCAGATCAGATCTTAAATACGATTTTTAATAGTAACTCGACTCCAGCGCCACTTGGCGGTTTTGTGAACCTAAACTATAGAGGGACTTTAGGACAAAAATTTCATTAAAACACGTACCGAAGAATTATATATGTATTTACAGATAGGTAAAAGTTTCAGTATGTTTGGAAGGCGCAACGCCCTCTTTTCCAATAACCCCCACTTTTCTCCAAGAGTATGGGATTGATTTAAAACCTTCATACCAAGTTCCAGGACTCTACTACAAATGCTTCCAGAAATATGCGGTGCCTATAACCAAAAAAGCCTTTTTATTTATTTCACCTCTTATAAAAAGATGGCACTCTTCTTAATATAATTGGTACCCAATACCCGCTTGCTTTGCGGCGCTTTAAGATATTTCGAACTGCAAAAAAAATCATTAAATTCTATTCTACGCATATCTATAGCATTTTCAGTTTAAATGAAACCATTTTCAAATTAAGTGAAATCTTTTCCAAATTAAATGAAACCTTTTTCTGCTTAAGCGAAACCATTTTCAAATTATATGAAACCTTTTTCAGATAAAGCGAAACCTTTTTCTAATTAAATGAAACCTTTTTCAGATTCAATGAAACTTTATTCAAATTAAATGAAACATTCTTAAAAGGAAATTTCTTTTAATTTGAATAAAGTTTCATTGAATCTGAAAAAGGTTTCATTTAATTTGAAAAAGGTTTCATTTAAACTGAAAATGCCATATAATACGTGTACGAATTTCGATCAAATGGGAATAGATTGGTCTCTGGTCCATCTAAAATAAAAAAGTATCCTATATGTTAATCCAGGCAGTAAGCTGCCTACGCGCCAAATTTCAAGCAAAACGGAACATATTAGAAGAAGAAATGTACCCTACATGTTAATCTAGGATAAGGCTACCTACGTACTAAATTTCAAGCAAATCGGACGAATAGATCGGTCTCTGGTCAACTTCACGGTAAAAAGAATCATATTAGCTTATCTAGGCAAAAATTTACCTACGTATCAAATTTAAGCAAATCGGACAACAAATATTATTTTTTTCGAATAGATCGGTCCCTGGTCCACTTCCCGGAAAAAAGGATCCTAATCCGATTTTCATGAAATTTTGTATATAAATAGCTTTCAGCAACCACCATGTCAAGGTACCATAAAAAATTACTTTTTCCGATAGGTGGACCAGGTACCGGTCTATTCGAAAAAATCGTATTTATCGTTCGGTTTGCTTGCAATTCGGTACGTAGTAAGTTTTTTGCCTTGATTAACTTATAGGATACTTTTTTATAGGTGAACCAGGGACCGATCTATTCGCAATTGAATCTGTATTGTAAAAATAGTGGCAGTTTCAAAATGCGGGAGTAGCATAGGTCCACAGAAATCCGATATACATAGACTTATTTCAGAAGAAATACCATAAATGCCTTAAAATTGTATTTGTAGCATTCGTCAAGAATTGTCTTTATTCTGTCTAGTCGCCGTAAAGTAAAGAAGGCAATGGTTATGGTGGTAGATTTACCGGTGGTAATTCTACTTTGATCCCTGGTGTCTCCGAATGACTTCACTTGATGATTTTTAGCAATATTTTAGCGTCACCTTGTGGTTCTTTTGCAAAACACGAACACACGTACCCAAGAGTTATATATGTATTTACAGATAGGTAAACGTTTTCCAATAGCCCCCATATATCTCTATGAGTATGGGATTGATTTCAAAACATACCAAGTTCCAAGACTCTACCACAAATACTTCCAGAGATATGCGGTATGAAACATTCGATTTGTATGGGGGATGCCACGGTCCCTTGATATATCGGAATTATTGTCAGTCTATAACTAAAAAGTGTCCAAAATTTCAAGTAAATTAAATAAAAAACTTTTTAATATACCGCGCTTCTATAAATGGATTGAAAAGTAGAAAATAATATTTCGCAGTCCCATGGAATTTGTTTTGATAACTTTTGATTTTAAAATTTTAGCAAAAGTCATTATAAATAACTTATGAGACTGAAATTGAAAAACATGGGGTGCATGCAAAACTAACCACTAAGGGCCGTTTTCTCATCCAACCTTTACTTTACCGGCCACTTTATCGTCTCGATATACGAGTTTTCGTTTTCTCATCAGCGCATTAAGTTCTCGAATCGATAAACTGTTGCTTTTCTTCTTTTCTTTCTTTATTGTCATAAGCTCAAATTACCTTTAAAATGCATCACTTATATTGTTTAGTTGGATGATCGGAAAACTAAACCTATAACAAATTTGTTGCCACGAATTTATTATTGGTTTAGTTTTTCGATCACCCAACTAAGCACATATTTATAACATTGAGCTCCACCGGAACGATTGTGTTAATTCATTTCAAAAAATTCGACGCATTTTTCAGTTACGCGACAAAGTGAATAGTTGTGGGTATCATTGTTGCTTATTGATAAGGGGCTCAGAAAAAAAATGTCCACAAATTAAAACAAAAATATATTATTAGTTAATACATATCTATGTGTGTATTAATCGCCCACTGTATGTATGTATGAATGTGACTACAACTAATGTGCAAAAACTTGTGACTATTTGATTAGTGTGACACTTCTGCAGCTTAACTGTCTAACTGTTAAGTTACAATAATTCTAGTTGATTCGCTTGTTTCGTCTTGATTCTATTACGACCGGCAGATGCATTTAGTGCAAATATATATGTATGTACAGTAGAGGGGTCCAAAACGAATATAGCCGGAATTTTAATGCCCCCACCCCTAGGACTGTTCTGAACTGAAAAAATATACCCCTATTTTTTATTTTAAAATCAAAAAATATTTAGAGTGCTCACAGCGCTCAAAGTTTTCCATGTTTTTTATATGGGGGAAAAACAACTTTTTGTAGAAATGGTATAAAATTCTTGAAAATTAATATAATTCGATCGTAAAACTGTGGTCCTTCTTTAGGAAACTTCCAATATTAATATCCAATTGTTTATTTAACAATTTTTTAATATTACAGATTTTTTATTGGTCTCCCCATAGCAAATGTAGTAACCATAAAAAAATGGTTAAAGAAACAATTGAGTATTATTACTGGGAATCCTCTGAAGATAAGCAAAGTTTTCCGATCGAAAAATATCGATTTTCAAGAATTCTGCACTATTTTTACGAAAAGTGGTATTTTACCCATATAAAATACATTTAAAACTCTGAGCGCTTTGAGCACTCCCTAAATTTTTTTTATTTCAAACTAAAAAAATAAGGGTATATTTTTTCGGAATAGAACAATCTTAGGAGGTGGCGGCATTAAAAATCCGACCTTATTTTTCCACATACATTTTTGGACCACTTTAATGTACAGTCTATAATAAAGTTTAGGTACAGCGATTTTTTTTGCAATACGGGCAACTGTTTTTTTATTATTTTATTTTTCGCAAATTTTTTATGAAAATATGGATGATTCTACGACCAACACCCCAAAAATCCGAGCTCCAAATTTTGTGCAAAATTAAAGAAAATTCTGCAAATTTTCATCAAAATTAGTGTTGGGCAGTATCGATACCAAAAGTACTCAGAACTCGATTCTCAAAAGGATCAACAGTACCCGATTTTTAAAAGTATCGATACTGAGTACTCCAAAGTAGCATTCAATCGACGTTATTTGGAATTAATCTATGAATTTGAATAAATTCCTGCCAGCTAGTGAGATTTCTACACTAAGCATTGAAATGTTACCAACATATCGTCGGTGGTACTGCAAAACGGTCTATGCCTATTAGTACCCTTGACACTTAGATTTTTGTACTCGACACTTTTTACTGCGATCCAAGTAGGTATCGGAAGTGCAAAACTTATTATGCTTCAGCAACTTCTTTGAAAAGCAACCCATTAAAGGAATTCGAAGATATGCGCAATACATTTCCGCAGCTACATATATAAGCAAGCCCGTCCATACAGTGTTGCCGTTGTGCGACTAAAGGCGCGATTTGACCATTTTTAAGCGACAATACCCTTTGACCCGACTTTTTAAAAATTTTGACTTTTTGACCCTTTTCCAAAATTATGTGCGACTTTTGCCCCTTCCCAGAGATTTTTTAGGAAATGTTAACAGAACCATGCTATTAAAAAATATTTCCTCTTGTAAGTACGAAAAAATGCATCACTTAAAACTTTTAATGGAAATGTAACTTTTCTCGATTTATATGTATGTTCGCAACCTTGTTTTGTGAAAAGCGTGCCCCACTATTTTATTTTTAAATTCAACAGATTTATTCTTTTACTAGTAAAGAAAAGCAAAAATAATATGGTGACCCTTTTTTTCGTCAATGAACTTCTTTTTTCAACTTTCTGGAAATTCTCAACGGCAACACTGCGTCTTACATAACGGTTGTTGGGTCATCTGTCCCGCGCGAGAGGCTTTCCTCAAATACCGATACAGCTATATCAAAATCTCGAAACCGCCTTTCAGAAAAACACTTGGAAAAGTTGATGTTTTTGGGGAAATATAACAAAACAGGAGTTATTTTGTTAAACTCATTTTATATGAAAAAACTTTATCTATTAGTCTTGTAAAAATGTATTCTATTGTTTTTTGAAATCAAATACTATAGAAAAATATTTGCTGTCTTAAACTTTTGTCTGAAAAGTTATTAAAAGATAAATAACCTTATAAAAAGCATGTTTTTTGTGAAAAAAAACAATACAATTACTTCGAAAAATATGCAAAATCGTAGTCTATGTACAAGTACTCGATACCTTATTTGATACAAGTACAAGTACAGATTTGAGTAATACCTTGATGGTATCGATTTATCCCTATAAACGAATGACAAAACTGTCTACCTTTGGCTGATGAAGATGAACGGTTACCAGAAGCGATCAAATAGAACGACATAGAAAGTACTCGATTCTCAAAAGTACTCAATACCCCCAACACTAATCAAAATATTACACCTTTTAATTACACTCTTTAGAAAAAAAACCAAGTATGCAGTTTTTTAGCCCATTCAGTTTTAGTATTATAATGTGCAAGTCGGAGGTAGCTAGGACTAACCAATGATTTTTGGCAAATGATTTCAACAAAATAATTTGTCAAAAATCATTGCTCAGTGGGCTGAAAAACTCCTTACTCAACTTGTTTCGTAAGAGTGTAATTAAGAAGTGCGATATTTTAATGAAAATTTGCAGAAGTTTCTTTAATTTTATACAAGGTTTGAAGCTCTGTTGTAGAATTAACCATATTTCTATAAAAAATTTGCGAAAAATAAAATAATTAAAAAACAGTTGTCCGTATTGTAAAATAATCGCTGTACCTAAATTTTATTGATTGACTGTATTTACAATGTACATTGTACATATATACATACATACATATGTTTAGTATAGAAATGTGCGCATGTACATATGTATGTATCCATATGCATATAGATATAATTTCGCAAGTGTAACTCAGAGAGACAACGTAACGTAATATTTATAAGTAATATTATTTCGATTTAGAGCCCGGCACTGATTCAAGACCCGATATACCGTTACATTAACTCGTTAATTAATAAAACTGCCTACCGCACACCACAAGTACATTACTGCTTACGATCGTTGGCTGGTTGGTTAACTAACTGATAGACTGCCGCCTATTTGCCTTCTTTGCGGCTGCTATCTGGAAGCAAATATACGTTGTTCTTTATTTATTGCTCATTTGTCTTCGCTATAGTAGTATTGTTGTGGTTGTTGTTATGTCTGTTGTTTTTGTTTGTCTCTATATATAAATGGTGTCTAGCTAAAGGCGCTGAGACATTTAGATAAGTTGGGGGCTTGTGTAGAGCTCAACATCAACAAAAAAAACAGATGATCATTAATTCACGACCACTCTAAAGTGATATGGTCGATCACAGGCGCACAAACAGTGACCATCATAAACTACAGAAGAACATGCAAGTCAAACAATGCTTTTGAGGAAACAAGCGAACAGCTACTGCCATTCCAAATACGAGCATGTAAACAAAACGGATAAGAGCACAGTAAACAATATATGCGACCGCTGTGGCTGAGTGGTTTGAGGTGCGTACTACCATTCCGTAGGATCTGGGTTCGATCCCTTATCCGCTAAGTCCAAACTTGAAAAAGTTGTTTCTAACAGCGGTCGTCCCTCGGTAGGCAATGGCGTACCTCCAAGTGTATTTCTGGCTTGAAAAATTTTCTCATAAAATCCATAAAACTGTAGGTCCTTCCATTTGTGTAACAACATCAAGACGAACACAACAAATTGGGGGAGCAGATCGGCCAAACACTGTAAAAGGGTCAAAATATTCTTATTTTTTTAAAACAATATATGCATGCTAGCATATGTGCATAAAAGTGCATGCCTTTACACATGCATGGAGTAAGTGCCAGGGCGGAAAAAAACGCAAATTTTGGATATTTTCCGCCTCTTTATTTTTAATCTTATTCGGTTGAGGAAAAACTTCTTTACTTGCTTTAATTGCAAAATGAAATTTTTATGGATAGTTTTATCTCGTCGTTATGAAGAAAAAAGGCTTTAAGCCTGGAAGTGCATGCCTCGTCAAATCAAGGACGCCAGTTTTCATTTTTATATTAAATATATTTTACAAATAAAAACTAATTAAATTTTTGGTTTTAATTGTAAAAATACTAGATAGCGAAAATATTTAAATTTTATACTTCACAGACCACAGGCGAACTTCGCCCCGCACAAAATTATGACTTTTTTATTGCAACATTTTGGTCCAACATCAACACCAGTGTTGCCGTTTTGATGCATATATTTCAAACGTGATACGTGTTTGTGCAAATTTTCGGAAGATACTTTATTTTTTCGCTCATTTCGAGAGATACTTAAATTTTCCGCGTAGTATAAGTTTTCATACGTGGGAAAATATATATGTATCTAGACAGTGGCAGCTTTTAAAATTTGTTAATATTGAAGCGTTTTGGGGTCAAATAACCCTCTAACCGTTATGACCGTCTGTAGACGGTCAATGCTTTTTTCCTATTAAATGTTGTAGGGAAGAATGGTTTCCCTATTCAATATTTTCGTCCGTCAGAGCCAAGAATGTCTACTGGCGTCCAAAAAATATTGAATGTTCGATCGTATTAAATAAAAAGCAAAATGTTTTTAGCTAGGTGCGCTTTATTAGGCAGTCGCTGATCGAATGACTGATCCTCTTACAATGCTACGCTTAAATAGGCGACGAAATCAAGTAAATAGGAATAAATAATATAAAAAAAACTTTTTAATATACAACGCTTTTATAAATGGACTAAAAAGTAGAAAATAATACTTCTCAGTCCCATAGAATTTGTTTTGATAACTTTTGATTTTGAAATTTTAGCAAAAGTCATTATAAACAATCTATGAAATTGAAAATGAAAA